CTTTTCTCTATTGAATTACCTTGGCATCTGTATTAGTTTCCTATAGCTGCCATAATAAATTCCCACAAACCTGGTGGCTTAAAACAGAAATTATTCTGTCACAATTCTGGAGGCCAGAAGGCTGAAATCATGGTGTCTACAGGACTGCACTATAATATTATGCTATTATTTTTCTTTTATAGAAAATATACAATAAATGTGATTGATAAGTTAGCTTAGTATATAATTAGGACAGTAGTTTGTAACATATTGAATAACATCAATATTTTAGTGCACATTGCATAATTCAACCATAAATGTTAGATGGGGAATAAACATTGTATTAGTTTCCTATTGCTACTTGAACAAATTATCACAAACTTAAAGCTTAAAACAACACAAATTTATTACTTTACAGTTTTAGAGGTCAGATGTCCAAAAGGGTCTCACTGGGCTATAATTAAGGTGTTGGCAGGGTTTTGTTACTTCTGGAGGCTCTAGGGGAGAATTTGCTTCCTTGCCTTTTCCAGCATCTCGAGATCACCCACATTCCTTGGCTTATGACCCCCTTCTATCTTCAAAGCCAGCAATGTCCAGTCAATTCTTTCTCAAGGTGCCATCTCTCTGATTACGACTCTTCAGCCTCACTGTTCTCCTTTTAGGGATATCTGTGATTACACTGGGCTCACTCAAATAATTCAGGTTAATCTTTGTACTTTAAGGTCAGCTGGTAAATCACTTGAATTCCATCTGGAAACTTAATTCCATGTCGCCATGTAACCTATCATATTCACAGGTTCTGAAGATTGGGAAGTAGTCATCTTTGTGAGGATGAAATTATTGTGCCTATCATACCCATTCATAGGGAAAGCAGCTATGAATTCATAGGGAAATTATAAATTCTATAAATTGTGAAGGAGTTCAACACTTATATTCTTTTACTAGAGGTAAAGTAACTGCACATCATGCACAAGGTCAGGAAACATGTTAAACAGGAAAAAACATCATATGATCTCTAAATTATTGCCAGAAACTATCTCAAGGATAGACTACCAAGTATTTTGGACCATTTCTAGTCTTGAAGTATGTATTTCTCTTCTTATTAGATTATTAAGTACAAATCTTATCCTTGTTTAGTAATTTATAATATCACGTGTTTTTGCATATTTTACCTGTTAAAATTGACACAATCTTAAAGAATCTAAGGTAAGACTATCACTTAGCACAGTGGCTGTGCATAATAAATGCTAACTAAATGATTAAACAATTTATTATTTCTAATAGCCTTTTAAATAGGGTGGCTGTTTTTTAGAAAGGTGAATGCCCTGTCCAGTATCATACCACAGGTGGACGAACTGGGAACTCCAAACTTGGGCATCCATCACAGTGAGTTACGATTGCATAGAGCTTCCCATAGAAACTAATTTTTTTGAAGCAATACTTTCTTATAACATTAAATCCCCAAATATAATTGATTCAGCTCCTTCTTAATTCATTAAATATTTGATACTATAAGAAGAAATGGAAATGTGCCAGAGAGGCCTAAGTTATAGTCTACTTTGAATGAAATCTTCTGGGGTACTGAAAATAAAGTCTTTTATGAAGAATTGGGAAAGGTGATTTGTTCTTGCCTGGAATAATGATTATATATATAGATGTATGCTCTTCACCTTATAGTCTTGAAATCTGTGGAAGCCACAACTCAAAATAACTCATCAAATGCCATGGTGACAGTAAGCAGAGAAATATTTTGAAAGATATTACCTGAGGGGTTTTGCTCTGAGCCCAATTACAAGCAGACAGGCTTGGTCTGTGCCTTCCCAATGTATTATAAGAATTTATAGCAGCACTGGGGCTTAAAATATCAGCTAGTTTGATAGTACAGAGATTCTACTAATTATAAAACAATAAGTATTAAAGAAATGTTTGTATGAAAGTAATCTCAATTATCTGCAAATTCATGATTTCTTTTGTGGATTAAGGTAATTTTAATGCCATGATTATACAGTTTCACTAAATATTGAGCGTATTCCTACAGCACTTCAAGCTATCACTTCAGTGAAATACATTTAAGGAATACAGATTCATGTAAAACAAATAAAAAATTGAAGCATATTTGAAAATCAAGCATGGATAATTCCTTATTACCTTTTTTTGGTTTGTACTACATTCATTAGTGTGAATAATCAACACTTAATTGTTCATCCAGATTATTTTATTTACTCTGAGCTATTGTATATTCTAAAAAACCTTTCACATCTTCATTATGTGATCTCAATTCCTTTTTCAGATGTCTCAATCCAAGAACAATTTAAATAATGGGACTGATTTTTCTGGTTGGGGAGATGGTTGCCTGGGTAGCTCATTTTTAAGTTCCCAGAGTCATTTCTCAAACTTGGGCCAACTGCTCGTATTCATTCTCTGTTTTCTCCTTAACTAAATGCTGGGGACTCTATTCTTTTCTTTCCAGCTCTGATACCACTCAATCTGTACCTTGGGATTCCTCTCTCTTAATGGCGAAGTGAGACAGGATTTACTAGATGCTTCTATCTTTTTTCTAACTCAGGGCTTTTACAGGTACAAAGACTCCAAAATTCTAAGAAAGTTCCTCCAGGCTACAACGTTCCTTATCACTTTCTGAATTTTCCACTTTTCCAGGTCAAGCTGATTGACTGGTTTACAGTGGATGCTTAAGAGTAAGATAAAGTCCCTTTTAAAAAGTGTCTTCTCAAAAAAAAAAAAGTGTCTTCTCTTGGGGAGATCATTTGTATTTTTGGATGGATCTTTACACCAGTGCTACCCCTCTGATTTCATGTGATGGACACATAGAAAATATTGGTATTTTTATGGCACACATGGTATCAGAGAAAACTGTGGTCCATGCCTAGAGGCTCGGGGTGCCCTAGGCTCTAGCATGCTACTCTGAAGGAATAAACACCTTAAGCAGATCTCTTACCCATTCTGTTGATTTCCTTTCCTGCTGTTGGGAAACTGTAATTTAGACAAAAAATGTACCCATCTCTGGGTACCTCCTTGGAATAGGAGTCCCCTTAGCACATTTTTTTTTTCTCGGATATAGTAATTCAGACCGCGTTCCTACTGGTTCATGTCGTTCTTCTAAAATTTCTGTGCTATCTGCCTAGCAGCCAGAACTGAAGCAGTAAGAGTATTTTTCATTTCTCCTACTGAAATATTGTTTTTAACTATTAAGGCACGTTTGTGTAAACATCAAGACAAGATGATGGCAGCCAGGCTTTCATCTTGAAAGACTTAGTGATGGATTTCGTTTCTGTTCTGAATTCAATAGGTATAGGTTTTCTAAATTGATGTATTACATTATGTCCAAATATACCAGAGTATTTTTGTCAAGGCTTAGGGTAGTGAAAGACAATTAAATTCCTAAAAGTAACTACTATTTGTAGGAGTACAAATCATCTTACTTTTATTTTTAGGATGGCTTGAGCCTTTTCATCCTTTAGGCCTCAGTTTAAATATAACCGAGGGGACTTCCCACCCTAACCCACACCGAGTGCCTCTGTCACTCTCTCTCAGTTCCCTGTTTGCTAGTCTTTCTTAGTACTTTAATTTTTTTTTTTAGCATGTGGCATGTGGGATCTTATTTCCCCAACCAGGAATAGAACCCGTGCCCCTTGCAGTGGAAGGGCAGAATCCTCACTACTGGACCACCAAGGAAGTCCCTGTTAGTGCTTTACATACGTACATATTTGTTTCTGGTCTCTCAACTCTATCACAGCTGTATCCTAGGTGCCTAGCATAAAGCCTAGCACATAAAATGCACCCAAATTTGCTGAATGAATGAAACTCATGACCTTTTTGTGAAGAGCATTTATTTGAAACATAAATTTTAAAATATGAAAATTTCCTTTATTTTTTCCGATTTAGTTTATACATAAACTGAGGGATTGATTTTTGAGCCTCATTAATGTCGGGTAACACTTTTAAACTTTTCCTTTGTGTTACATGGAAGTCTAAATTTACACCATAGTAGTAAACCCCACACCAACACATTACACACATTTGCCCATGTCCCTTACAAAATTTGAAAGCTATGGCTTTTTGCCTCACACTGATTGGAAGCCTGGTAGCTTGGGCCTAATTTACAAGCCACTAAATATTGCAAAAGAAAAGAGCAAGGGTGCCCTATTTCAAAAGTTAATTCCGAAGATGCAAGTCAGAAGAAATCGACCCACATTTCTGACAAGGGTTTATCCTAAGAGGTGAACTCTTCAACTGTGGCCTTTCCAGCCAACTTGGCCGCCTGCTCCCGAGTGCAGGACACAGCCTTCGTTTCCCGATTTTGCGTCGCGCTTACTTTCCAATTGTTAAGAACGACTGTGTGTGCGCGCGAGACCGTGGACTCGGAGGTGCGCGCTGGGGGCGTAGCTGAGCCATTCAAACCAGCGAATCCGCGTTCCCCTCGTCCTCCCAACTCTGCCTCATCTTGGCAGATGCCCCACGGGTTGGCACGAACTCCCGGGTCCTGACCTCCCTCCTCCCATCTCCGGGGTACCCGGACAGCTCGGGGAGGCCACTTCTTCCCCGAAGCGGGTAAGGATGAAGTTGGAAAAACTAAACGCGGTCTACAGCAGAGCGCCGAAACGCAGCCGGAGCGACGCTCCAGCGCGCGGAGCGGGAGGAAAGCGGCCCCGCGCGAAAGGGGCGGGCCGGCTCGGGCGCTCGCATTTCCTGTGACAGGGGCTGCCCAAGCCGCTCCCTCTCCCGCGGCGGCGGGACCATTTCCTGAATCGCTGAAACGGAGGGAGGGCTGGGGCGCGGCCCTACCACAAGCGCAGGGGACCGGGGGGTGGCGCGGAAGGAAAGGTGGAGGAACGGGAGGGCGATCAAGAGCAGGGAAGTTCTGCCGGGGCTGTGGTTCCAAAGTACCGCGCAGAAACTGGACTAGTACGGGCCAGAGTTCCCCGTCCAGGCTGGGCCGGCCGGCTGCCCGTCGGGCGCTGGAGCATCCCCCCTCCCCGCGTTCTCGACGTGGTTCGGCCCGAGAGACCGGCGTCTTTCCCCCAGTTTGCCGTTCACCCGGAGCGCTTGGGACTTGCCGATAGTGGTGACGGCGGCAACATGTCCGTGGCGTTCGCGGCCCCGAGGCAGCGCGGCAAGGGGGAGATCACTCCCGCTGCGATTCAGAAGGTGAAACCGCGTGGGGTCGGAGATGCCAGGCCCTGCCCGCGTTTGGAAGGGACACGGGGGCCGGGCCGGGAGTCGGCCGGGCTGGGGGCGGAGGCGGGCCTGCTGGGAGGCGGGTGGGTGTGGGAACCCGAGCCGCGGGCTGCGCCCGAGTGGGTGGCGGAAGGGGGCGAACCGGTTCTCTCGAGGAGTTTTGTGCGCGTTTTGGCTCCTTCCTACAGGCACAAAAGCCTAAGCAACTGGCGCCCGATTTCTCTAGGGATGGGGCGGCGTTCGCGCGGCGGGGCGCGTGCACCCGGCGGTGGCGGCCGCGCGGGGAAGGGCTGTTTTCCGCGGCCCGCGCCCCCCGCGGCCCCGCGCGTCGCTCCGGAGTTACTTTGGCGTCGCCCCGCCCCGCGCGCCTTGGCGGCTCTGTGCAGACCTCACCTAGGGTCGCCGGGGGCCCGAGGGGAAGCCGGAGCGTTGGCTGTCTCCCCGCGCAGAGCTGCAAACTCCGGCCGAGTTGGGGAGCTCTCACCAGAACTTGGGGGACGCGGCAGGGAACCTTAGTCGAGGCTCAGGGGCGGGCGAGGGAGAACCCTCTGGATTTCGGGGTTCTCTCGGAGTCCCTCCTTCCTTCTGGATGTACCCCTTACCTCTACAGCTGCAGCGAATACTCATTGATCGCCTACTGCAGGCGCCGCGGCTGCGGTGGTGAGCATGGTCCTTGCCTTCACGGAGCTTACAGTCGAGTAATGGAGACAGTCTGATTCTCGTGATCAATTGCAGAAGTAGTGATAAATACACAGGGAGCTGTGCTGTCGTTGCTGTTACTTGCCAGTTGGAGACACAAAGGTTCTTTATTCTCTACCCCTTGTTGCCTACGAGCAAGGCAGCGTTCTGAGTTTTAGTTAACCAGACTTTGAAAAGTTACTTAGAAAATTTTGCAGTTTACCTTAAATATTTCGGTTTTGTTTTATGCACCGGAACAAAGGTGAAAATTGAAGAGAAGTCAACTTCTAGTACCACTCAGGATACCATCCTACACCCGGTAGATTATGTTAATTGGCTTCTGTTGACTCTCAGGTTCTTTGTAGTGTGGCATTTGACATTTGCCCAACTGTTGCTTTATTTTTATGAACAAACCGGCTTGGCAGTGCCTGAAAATGCAGTGCTTTTTGTGTAGCGTACTGGGCTAAGTCTGCGGCCTGGCAAATAGCTCCAAGTACACATAGGCAAAACGTGTTTCTGGAAGGCTTCGCTTTTTATTTTTGGCCTGTAGAAAAGTTCTGAGTTTTTCTTTTTTTTTTCTCTAAAGAGTTTTTCTTACATACACCTAAAGATATTTATCATGGGTGATTAATTCAGGAGATGCTGATCAGTTAAAGTTTTCATCCTCAGCCGAGGAGAGAAAAAGGATTACAAATTAAGTGCCTCATTCTATAGTGTGAGGGATTGAGGTTAAGTATGAGACAAATATTCTAATGGTGAAGTTTATTAGGTTGAAGAATCCGAGAAGATAGGTTGTGAAATCGTTAGATTGGAGATTGTATTAACACATTTTAAAGACAAATTTTTTGGCATCTGATGATTAAGAAGAAAACTACATTTTTTAGAAGGGCATGTTAATATTTTTTTCCAGCGATATGAATCATATGCACAGTATTTTTTTCTGTTTTTTCGTGTTTAGTTAAAAGAATTACATTAACTAAATTAGTGAGAAAGAGTGGTTATGGTATTGTACTTCATGCTTTCGTTGAATCCTGGAAGGGTGGGGCAGTTTTAGGAGGAACATCTACTCCTGTCACTTGATAAATCTGAGACCCTGAAATCTTAAGTGGTTTTCACAGGGTAGCAAAGCTGGTACTAAAACTAGCTGGCTTTTTAATTGCTACATCAGTGCTTTTTCCTCAGTGCCACTTTGCTTAGATGAATTATTTAACCCTTAAAGCTAGTTTTGCTTTGAATTGTTATGATAGTATGATAAATTGATATGCTTCTTATTTTTAAACTTTGGGGACAATTAAATTATAAGGTAGGCTCATAGAGTCTGCGATAAATATTACAGTACTTACCTAGAAATTATTGTAATTGATTATTGCATATTTGGAGAATCACAAAACTATGCTGTGTAAAACTTGGAAACTAGCCAGCTATCTCCTTAAGCCTCCTGAGTTGAAGGTTTCATGAGCTTATTCTGGATAAAGACAGATATTTTTTTTTCACTAAGACAAAGCATTACAATGATGCAAAGCCAACTTGGACTTTTAACTTTTAGTCTTTTTTGTTTGTTTTTTTTTTGGCTGTACCCCGCGGCTTGGGGGCTCTTAGTTCCCCTGCCAGGGATTGAACCTGTGCTCTCTGCAGTGGAAGCTCAGAGTCCTAACCACTGGACCATCAGGGAATTCCCTCTTAACTTTTAGTCTTAGTAAGGCAAAACTTCTATTTCAGATAGTAGAGGTAATTAAATGTTTGAACAGAAAAGAAACTCCAAATTTTCTGTGCTGAGCTTCAGGTAATAATTCAGAGGGAGAATAATTGAAATAGAAATATTAGGGAATTCCCTGGTGGTCCAATGGTTAAGACTCCACGCTTCCACTGCAGGGGGCGCGGGTTCGATCCCTGGTCAGGGAATAAAATCCTGCAAGCCGGGCAGCACTGCCAAAAAAAAAAAATTAAAAAATGTTGATTAAACATGATAACATTCCAAAGGTATAAAATAAGATCTTTTGTGCTGAGCTATATAGTATGTATAAAAAAAGACCTGTGTGGATTCAGTTCCTGTAGAGATAAATGTTTCTAGAAATCTGAATTTTTTATTAATTGTTGCACTAGATTTACAATAAACTTTTTCTCATTTCAGATGTTGGATGAAAATAACCATCTTATTCAGTGTATAATGGACTATCAGAATAAAGGAAAGACCTCAGAGTGTTCTCAGTAAGATTGATATGAATTTTTTTGTATTTGTTTTTCTGTGTTGGTTAATTTTTTACTTTTCTTTTTAAGAACAGTTTTATTGAGATATAATTCACATATCATATAATTCACCTATTTTAAAGTGTACGATTCAGTGGTTTTTAGTATATTCATAGAGTTGTACTATTACTTTAATCAATTTTAGGGCATTTTCATCATTCCCAGAAGAAACCGTATCCCATTAGCAGTCACTCCCTGTTCTCACCTCCCAATCCCACACCCCTTGTTAACCACTAATTTGTTTTCTGTTTGTGTAGATTTGCTTATTGTGGATAGTTCATATTAATGGATTCATTCAATACATGGTTTTTTTTGACCGACTTCTTTCCCTTAGCATAGTGTTTTCAAGATTCATCCTTGTTGAAGCTTGTATCAGTATTTCCTTCCTTTTTATTGCTGAATAATCTTGCATGGCTATACCACATTTTATTTATTCATCAGTGATGTTGTTTGGGTTGGTTCCAATTCTTGACTATGATGAATAATGCTGCTGTGAACATTCGTGTACAATTTTTTGTGTGACTTTTCTTGATTTTTTATAAAAAAAATTGTTCTTTGGGATGGAGTGGATATCAGTGTTTTTCTAATACTTCTTATCCTGCATTATAAAATAATGACTTCAAATTTGCATAGTCTGATTTGTGGAAAAGTTAGATCTTCATATTTATAAGGTATTTAGTTATATCATGTACAGTTGACTCTTGAACAACATGGGTTTAAACTACACAGGTGCACTTCCATGTGGATTTTTTTCAGTAAAGATGTACTGCAGTGCTACATGATCTGCGGTTGGTTGAATATGTGGATGCGGAACCATGGATACTGGGGGCAGACTGTAGAGTTATAATCAGATTTTCAACTGCGCCGGGCTCAGTCCCTCCTACCACTGTTCAAAGGTCAGCTGTATGTGGTTGAGAACGCAAAGTTTATGTCTAGTACAGAATTGATTACCACTCATAAGAGCCGAACTTCTTACTCTGAAGTGATGACGTGTCTGAAGTAAACGGTATCCCCTAATAGAATCTGGTATAGTGGAACAAATTGAATATTTTATCAAAAGTCTCTAGAACAACACTATCAGTAGGAATATATTGGGAGCCACGTAAGTAATTCTACATTTGCTAGTAGGCACATTAAACCAGTAAAAAGAAACATATGAAATTAATTTTTATAATATATTTTATTTAACTTACTATTTCTAAAATAATATCTCTTCGCTATGTAATCAGTATAAAAATACTAATGAGTTATTTTGTTCTTTTGTTTCATAATAAGTCTTTGAAATCCATTGTGCATCTTACCTACTATCATGTCATTTTGTACTAGCCACAAGTTCAGTGTGTCTAGTGGCTACCGTATTGGACAACTCAGCTCTGAATATCTTACTCTCACCATTGTTTTGGGACACATCTGTCTTTCCTAGAGATCTCATTGGTCTGCTCTCAGGAAGATTTTTTCAGCAACCCTGGCTCTTTCTCTGCGTGGCTCTCATGCTGTGCTGGTCGCCTGCTATCATCCGATTAACTCTTTACCTAGTTTTGAGTCCCTCTCCATGACTTTGTCTCTTTCCCCTTTGTTTAAAATTGTTTTTGAATTAAGAAACTTATAAACCATAAAAGTTTGTAGGGATAAAAGTCGCTTTTTTACTTCTCACTCTTATATCTCTCTTCTCTCCACAGAGGTAATTACTTACAATGGTTTAGTACCTATCTTTCAAAACATTTTTCTGTGCATTTACAAATATGTGCTCACATTTATATAAACACATTTAGACAGATATTTTAGTTTTCATAGATTAGGGTTTTCTAAATGGAATGTCTGGGTCAAAGACCGTTCTAAATCTCCAAATTACCCTGCAAAGAGATTGTATTGGTTTGCTTTCCTCCCACTAGGTTTCAGAGTCCTGGTTTTCAACCATATTTTCCAGCAGTGGATACTGGCCGTCTTTTAAAATTTTTTTACACATCTGATGGGTGAAAAGCAGTATCTCTTTCTAAAACTTTTTATTTTTAAATAATTTCACTCTTATAAAAAAGTTTCAAAGATAGTAGAAGAAGTTGCTGTATGCCCTTGACTGAAATGCCTCAGATGTTAACATATTAGTCCACTGTGTCATTCACTTCTTCCCCATGTCGTTTTTCTGAAATATTTGAGAAAAAAGTTGCAGGCATGATTCTCTCTTATCTTTGTAACATCCATGTGTATTTCATAAAAACAAGCACAAATTCTTAGAGTCTAATTGTTAAAATCAAGAATTCAGGGACTTTCCTGGTGCTCCAGTGATTAAATACTGTTATCAAATTTTCAGACCTTTCAAAAATTTTGCCAGTTGTCCCGTTAGTGTATTTTTTCAGTTCCATGATCTAGTGCAGGATCAGATGTTATATGTAGGTCTGTGTCTTCAGAATACTTTAATCTGTAAATGTCCTTCAGTTTTTCTGTTATCTTTCATGATGTTGACATTGTTGAAGAGTACAGACCAGTTGTTGTGTTATATGTCCCTCATTTTGGGTTGACTGGTGTTTCTCCTTGATTAGACTCATGTTATACACTTTTGGCAGGAGTACCACAGACAAGATGTTGCGTCCTTCTCAGTGCATCCTCAGTAGCCGTGTGATAGCAGTTTGTCCCAGTATTCAGGGTAACTTTGGCTACTTTGTTAAGGTGGTGCCTGCCAGGATCTCTACTGTAAAGTTACTATTTCTTCCCTTGTTATTTCTGTGTATGTGTTGGGGAGATACCTTGAGACACACATAACCCTGTTTCTTGGCCTATTTCCACACATTTGTTTTAACATCCACCAGTGATTCTAGACTAAAACAGTTATTACTGTGGCAGTTGCCAAAAGATGACTGAACCCATCTTTCCTTCTACAGTTATTTGGAATCCTACTGTAAGGAACAAATTTCCCAGCCCCTGTCCTATTCGTTCATTCATTGATTTATATCTGAATGAACTTACGGATTCTTACTGTATTCTCTGGGTTTTAATTTGTTAGTCTATTATTTATTTATTTTCTTTTTCAAATTGTCCCAGATGTTGGCCACTGGGAGCCCCTCATGCTGGCTTCTTGACTATCTCTATTATTTTTTGAGCATTTAAAAAATTTCTTGTATGACAGAATGTTCCAGGCTCCTCTTGTACTTTTTTCTGCCCCAGTCTGGAATCATTTCTCCAAGCCCTAGTTCTTTTTTTGGAGAATAATATTTAGAAATTAAGATCTGGATGCTAGGATATCTTAATTTCTAATCACTTGTACATTTTGCATTTTATGTGACCATTGCCACTTCTTTTATGTATATTTTCTTTGATGAATCTTGTCTGTTTATATGTGAAAATTTCTTTTAAGAAATTACAACTGTGGATAATCATCAGTGGTTAGGAGATCACTACCTCATGTCAGCCATGGAATGATAACAACTGAGAGGCACTGATGAGAATAATTATTTTCACTTATGGCTTTTTTTTCTTTTTACTACCTTTATCCAGCTCCTCCTCTTCCCTGCCCCCCACCACTGGTAACCACAAATCTGATCTCTTTTTCTGTGAGTTTGTCTGTTTTTGTTATTCTGTTATTCTTTTTGGGGGGCTGCACTGTGCAGCATGTGGGATCTTAGTTTCCTGACCGGGGATCGAACCCATGCCCCCTGCGGTGGAAGCGCTGAGTCTTAACTGCAGGACGGCCAGGGAAGTCCCTGTCCGTTTGTTTTTGAAGTATAACTGACCTACATCACTATGCTAGTTCCTGGTGCACAACATAGTGATTTGACATTTCTGTATGTTACAAAATGATCACCACACCTGTGGTGTTTTAAACTGTCAGGTAAAGCCACGGGCATAGGACTGGTTCAGTTTCCTATAGGCCCTAGCAGTACGTGACAGGGATAAGACATGTTCAGATGTAGAACCCACTTTTCCAACTTGTCGGCAAAAGTTTATACTGTCTTATTCTTCATAGTCTTAGCTTTTTTGTGTATGTGATCATTTTCCCCTTCTCTGCCTATTGGCATAGACCTCATTTGCTCACATATTTGTATAAATGGAGCTTAAATTGATTTAGGTAGAATCTTAAATTCTGCCCTTTCTGTTGTATTTAATTTCATTCTTAGAGTTCTTCATATACTCTTTCTTTCTCAAGTTGTCAGAATTGGTTTGTGAGTGAAGAAAAAAAATTTCTCCTCTCAACATTAATAAATGTTCTTGTTTCTCATAGGAGAAGTGAAAGGAGAATAAAGAGAAACATCAGTGACAGCCACCTGGGAATTGATAGTTCAATTTTATTTATTTATATTTTTGGCTGTGTTGGGTCTTCGTTTCTGTGCGAGGGCTTTCTCTAGTTGTGGCGAGCGGGGGCTACTCTTCATTGCGGTGCGCGGGCCTCTCACTGTCGTGGCCTCTCTTGTTGCGGAGCACAGGCTCCAGACATGCAGGCCCGGTAGTTGTGGCTCATGGGCCCAGTTGCTCCATGGCATGTGGGATCTTCCCAGAACAGGGCTCAAACCCAGGTCCTCTGCATTGGCAGGCAGATTCTCAACCACTGCGCCACCAGGGAAGCCCAAGTTCAACTTTAATTAAACAGTTCCTTAAGATGTGATAACTGCCTGAAGCAGTGTTTTTTGTTTTTTTATTTTTGCGGTACGCGGGCCTCTCACTGTTGTGGCCTCTCCCGTTGCGGAGCACAGGCTCCGGACGCTCAGGCTCAGTGGCCATGGCTCATGGGCCCAGCTGCTCCACGGCATGTGGCATCTTCCCGGACCGGGGTACGAACCCGTGTCCCCTGTATTGGCAGGCGGACTCTCAACCACTGCGCCACCAGGGAAGCCCTGAAGCAGTGTTTTTTAAAATCGAAAGTAACTTTTTTTTTATGAAAGCAGTATAGGCATTGTAGAAAATTAGAAAACACAGATATTTAAAATTTAGAGAACGAACACCATATTCTCACCACCCAAAGATTTTTCACTGGTAACATCTTTGTATATATTACTCTACCCTTATCTACACACACACAGACACACACACACACACACACACACACACGCTCACACTCACACTCATATAAGTCAGTGAATCGCTTGTAGAGCTCATATGCCCAGATCCTCTTCCCTTTAAATTCTGACAACTTATATGTAAGAATATATTATTGCTCTCTTGTGGTGTTTGGTTTGAGCATTTTCTAAATCATCCCATGTATTTGCTTAAATCAGCCCTTATTTTTTGTATTTCAGGGTGAGTGCACCTATTTCAGAGTGTGTTATAAACAGTTCTTAAGTGAAAAATTTTTGTTCATCATAGTGTAAATGAATTTAGTTTTAAATCTCTAGTTAGGAAGTTAACTTTTATTCTATAAATTGTATTTCTGTTGTCCTAAAAATACACTGTTCATAGCTTCTAGGTAAAAGTTTCTTTTTCAAAATGAAATCTGACTTTTTTGGATTCATTTTGTAATTATATCAATAAATTTAATGGTGGTTATTTTACTTTATTCGAGGTAATTCATGTAGTGGCTCTTAGTAGAGGAATCTTTGGGAAGTGAACTGCCTCTCATTTAATAGGTTAATAAATAAGGGTATCTGGAAGTATCTGCCAGTATTTATGAGGAAGTTACCGTCATGAAATATAAAATGTTGAATGTATTTTATATCTTCCCTTTGCTTACATACTGTTTTCTTTTATTAACGTATACGTTTTTAGAAATAATAAGCATATAAAAACTGCAGTGACAAATTAATAGTATTTATAGAATTTAGAAAAAGTTTCTCAGGAAAATGTTTAATATTTGTAGAAGAATCTTAGAATAAGCTTATTTGATGAGTGCTGTAAAAAGAATGCAGTTTTTACAAAAAAGTTACAAAAGACCGTTAAAAATGATCATTTTTACTTACCCCCTTACATTAGGTAAAAAGATTTGGGGCTTTTGGGACAATTGTAGAAATTTGACTGGTTTCTGTGGATTCGATGGTAATATTGTATCAGTATTCATTTCCTTGTTATGATGGTTGTATTGTAGTTATATAGGGGAATGTCCTTGTTTTTGGGAAATTGACACTGAAGTGTTAGGAGTAATGGGGTATTATGCTGGTAACTGACTCTCGATGGTTTTGGAAAAAAGTGTGTCGTTGCATGCACGTGTATGTCGGTGTAGGTGTTTAGAGATAGTATAAGACAGATGTAAGATGCTGACAGTTGGGGAGCATGGGAGAAGAATATTTGGGAGTTCATACTATTCTTGAAACTCTAAGTTTGAGATTATTTCAAGATTAAAAATTAAGATTTGATAGTTGGGGAAATGTCTTTAAAGTGTTTCATAAAAGTTGCTGTATTTATAGATATTTAGAAACACAAGGACTTTAGAGATCTACCCTCACTGCCATTTATTTTATTTTATTTTGTTATTATTTTTTAAAATAAATTAATTTTTGTCTGCGTTGGGTCTTCGTTGCTGTGCGCGGGCTTTCTTTAGTTGGGGTGAGCGGGGGCTACTCTTTGTTGCAGTGCACGTGCTTCTCATTGCGGTGGCTGCTTGTTGTGGAGCACGGGCTCTAGGTGCGCAGGCTTCAGTAGTTGTAGCACGCGGACTCAGTAGTTGTGGCTCGCGGGCTCTAGAGTGCAGCCTCAATAGTTGTGGCGCAGGGGCTTAGTTGCTCCATGGCATGTGGGATCTTCCCGGACCAGGGCTCGAACCCGTGTTCCCTGCATTGGCAGCAGATTCTTAGCCACTGTGCCACCAGGGAAGTCCCTGCCATTATTTTATAAATGAGGCCTCAAGCGTGTGGCAGATTAAACAGTATTTTAACACTGGCTTACCTAGGACCAATAAGCATGACTAGAATTTTTCTTAAAGGGTCATGAGTAAGCCATAGTCTGAGTAAAGTTGGTATTTTTATTTTTGATAGGGCAGTCAGCAAATCTCATATCTGAGTACATGTGATAGAGCCATACTAATATTCAGAAGAAAAGAAAAACTTGAAAGAGCAGCCTTTGAAATGGGTTACATGTTCTAATGAAAAATGGCTGGTTGGTTTTTTAAAAATGGCAAGATTGTAGAATCCTGTATCTTAAATTCCACTCAAGATGTCTATGGAATAATGAAGTAGTTCCAGCTAGTGGTGCCTGTTAGTGCTGTTTGAAGAATTTCAGTGACATAATTAACCATTATGAATAATTCAGTGCAAAATAATAATTCTTGGTCCTTGTTTGTTTAAGGATCCCTATAACAATATATCATGTCTGATTGAGCAACATAGTGTATATGTGAGGAGGAGCATTAAGAGCTTAGACTTGTTTTTAAACAACAACAAAAAAACAAAAACAAAGAAACAAGGAAACCTTGGGAAGTGTTGGATATATCTGTTACCTCCATGGTGGTGATGTTTTCACTGGTGTTCATGTATATCCAAACTCATCAAATTGTACACATTAAATGCGTGAAGTTCTTTATATATATCAGTTATATCTCAGTAAATTTATAAAAAAGCAAACAAGCAAACTACAAAAGTATGATCTTGTTGGTGAAGAAACTTTAAGTTCAGTGAGAAATAAGTTTTTTCCTCCCTAATAAGAAAACAGTAGTGAAACCAGTTTTTCCAGCAGGATAAAAATAATGCAGCGAAGAATTTACTAGGATTCCTCTTAACGGTGTCTGTCTTAGAAAATTACTTCATTTGGGATCCATATTAGAAGACTCTATTTAGCTGAATAAAGTTCTTTTGACTTATTTTCATTATTTTAATTTGTATACTATTTATTAGTAAATGGAATTCTAAAAGCTTAATTGGATGCATGTTTTACGTTTGTATTATTTTGTGGGTTTACCAGCACTAGTAATTGGATCATTACTAATTTCAATGTGGTTTCATCTGAGTTAATTTTGTAAATTATGAAGAGTGGCTTAGCAATACTAATTCATAGGTAAGTAAGATCACAGTAAACATGTTTAACCACTTGACTCTGATAATGAGAATTTGCTTTATTTTTTAAAGTTAATTTGCAGTGTTGTTGGTGTTGGTGTCCTATTATTTCCTCCATCCCGGTGCTTTAGCATATAACTTTTTTCTTTTTTTTGTAATTGGAGATGCCTCTTTATTGTCCTCTCTATACATCCTGATAGATGGGCAGCATAACCACAGCAGGCATAAATTGTTGGTCACTGCTGCAGGAATGAGAAGGGAAAAAATGTGTGGTTTCCACCTCCTTTCTGACATTTTAGCAGAGCGTGTTGACTGTACTTGGCTTTGAGGTTTTTGGCAACATGAAAATGGCAGAGGGAAGGGAATAAGCATATCAGTTTTGTTGATTCCTTCATTCTAGATCTCTTTGCATATGTTATATGTGTGGAGCCAGTACCTGTCTCAGTTATTCCATTTACTACGCTGTACAATCTTGTACAAGTTATTAACCTTTCTAAACCTCAATTTCTTCATCTGTGAAATGGAGAAAATAAGAATCTTCACTTCATAGTGTTGGTTTGAGGATTAAATCGGATGTTTAAGTATGTAAAACAACTATAGCAATATCTAGCACATGGTAAGAGCTCCGTGTTTATTATTGTCTTTGAACATACTTATTTGGAATTATTTTGCAGAGGAACTAGGAAAAATTGAAGTGCTGTTGATGTTCAGGTAACAGAAATCGCTCATTAAACTTGAGGAATAAAATGCTGTTTGTATATGTAAGCAGATAGGAAGAAAATTATTTTTTAATATTGATATTTGTTTTGTTTTAATAGGTATCAACAGATGCTGCATACAAACTTGGTCTACCTTGCTACAATAGCAGATTCTAATCAAAACATGCAGTCTCTTTTACCAGCAGTAAGTACCTTTAAAATAGTGTGAAGTAGATAATTTTTATAGAGTTCTTTACAGAATAACACATTTTTGTTTGGTGATTCTGAGTTTTGTTTAGCAAATCCTGCCCTCTTCTGAGAACATGAAGATATTCTCCTATATGATCTACAAGCTTTATTATTTTGCCTTCATATTTAATTTGAATTAATTCACCTGGAATTGATTCCCTGACTGAAGAAGTTATATCCATCCATCTGTATTCACTAACCCACCTATTTATTTATTTAAATGTGTAATTGCACAAATTATTTAGGAACAAATCTGTAATATTTTGAAGCAGATCCCCAGCCATCATATATGTAATTTAATATGCATCTCTGGCAGATAAGGACTATTATCTCACACCACAAAATTAACCAGAATCTCTTAATGTCTTATAATACCCAGGATGTTTTCATTTTTCACCAGTTATCTAAAAAACTCGAATGTTTTAATGATTGTTTGCCGCAGAATCCAAACAAGGTCCACCTGTTGCATTCGTTGATCTGTGTCTTAAGTTTTTTTTAATCTGTATCAGTTTATATTTTTTATTCTCCATTTATTTATTTGTTGAAGAAACTGGGTCATATATTTTGCAGAACTTCTCACATTTTGGATTTGGCTGATTGTATCCTCGTGGTTCTTTAACGTGTTCCTCCATCTCATCTCTGTTTCTCTAAACTGGTAATTTATAGACTGAGAGGCTCCATTAGAATTAGGTTTAGTTTTATGTTATTTCGTTGGTGGCCCCGTGTTTGTGTTGCCTATTGTATCTCGTTAGCAGGGACATAGTTTGTTGTCTCGTTTTTAGTGATGTCAGGATTGATCAGTGCACACAGTTGGTACTGGTCTGATCAGTCCATTATAAAGTTCCCCATCTACCTTCGAGTTTGTGGTTTTAGCAGTCATTGGTGCTTGTTCATTGTTTCATTTTGGGATCTAAGAACAATGAGTTTCTAACTTTACAGTTCCTTCTGCATTGTACTTCTTTTAAAAAGGAAAATTTCCTTTAATCAAATATTTGGTTATCCTGAAATAGAGAGTTCCTATAGGAAAGTCATGATAAAGGCTTGATTCTATTCCTTTATCAATTTTCAGAATAACAAGTTGGTCTCTAGCAACCTGCAAAAGATGACCAAGGATTTTCTCTTTTTTTTTTATTATCTGAACTTATACATTTTTATATTTTTAATGTGTTTAAATCCATTGAGTCATTCTTTGTGATACTCAAGTTTTCTCACCTGTGGTCAGTGGGTACCCCTTCATTTGGCTCCTGTGTCCTTCTGACGTGATTTCGGTATTGTATAGCTTCTTCGCTTCAGAATTTGTGAGAGAGATCAGACTGATTATGTTCTCTGCCCCAGAACTATTCTGCCCCAACTATTTTTCCAACCAGCCTTTTTCCTATGGGAATTGGTATTTAGAAACCACAATTTGGATGTTTGGGGCATTCATTATTACTGAGTTTCCATTTTTTCTTGGCATTTTCAGCAGACAGAGGTAGTAAACACGCTTTTTAAAAAGAAAGAAAATATTAAATTAGTGATATTGCCACTTCAGGAAAAGTTTTTTTACCCAGATTTGATTTTATGTATTAGTATCTCTTCTGTCTTACTCTAAAAATCTTGATACCTCAATGACATTATTGTAGTCACTTGTTTGCTTTATACTGCTATATATGTAACATAATTTCAATATAACAATACCAAGATTGCCGCTAACAATAATATGCTTGTCCTTAGATATATCTCACTAGGGATATATAATGAATAAATTTAGTTTTGAATCTGAAAGAATGTTAATGTGATTTTTTGCCATGGATTTCATTATCAGCTAGTATGAGCAATAGATTTGATTTCATTTGTTTCCAGGTAGATAATTCTCTCCAAGCATTATCTGTTAGAAAAATAAAACAAAATATCTTTTCTCTATTTTGTCATGCCACTTGATATTATATATCAAGTGTCCACATATGTGCGGGTCTGTGTCTAATCTCTCTATTCTGTTCCATTGGCCAGTTTTTATAAATTCCACTATCTTGTCACAGTTGTCATAGTCCAATAAGTCTTGATGTATATTAGAGAAGTTCTTTACTTATTCCTTATATTCCTTATTTTTTTCAAGAATATCTTGTGTACTGGTCCTTTGCATTTCCATATACACTTAAACATCAGCATGTCCGACATAATCCGCTTGTGATTTTCATTGAGGTGAACTTGACTATAAATCAATTTGGGGAGAATTGATGTCTCTACAATACTGAGTCTTTCAAATCATGATCATTGCATATATTTTGATTTATTTAGTCCTTTACTATCTGTCAATAAAGTTTTGTGATTTTCCTGCAAAGGAAATTTACACATCTCTGTCCTGCAGAGAGATTTACACATCTCTCATTGGATTTATTGCTAAGTACCTCGTATTTTTGAGGCAATTTGAAATGGAATCGTTGTTTTTTAAGTTTTATTTTGTAACTGTGATTGCAGTTTACATAGAAACTCTTTTGATTTTGAATCTCACAGCCTTGTTCAACTCTTACTTCTAACAATTTTTTTGTAGATACTTCCAGTTTTCTATATTCACGAACATATTTGTGAATAATGAGTTTTGTTTTTTCTTGCCAGTCCTTACACCTTTTATTTCTTTCTCTTGCCTTACTTCTCTGGCTAGGACCTCCAGTACATTCCTGAATAGAAGTGGTGATAGAGGAAATCTTAATCTTGTTCCTGATCACAAAGGGAAAGCTTTCACTGTTTGACCATTATGTATGATGCTTGCTGTAGTTTTTTTTTGGATACCTTTTATCAGATTAAGGAAGTTCCCTTTTGTTTCTGTTGTGCTAATAGTTTATATATTGAATGGATGTTAAATTTTATTAAATACTTTTATTACATCTAATGAGGTGATCATAGTTTTTTCTTTAATCTGTTAATGTGGTGAATTACATTGATTTACTTCTCAATGCTCAGTCAGTCTTGGATTTTTGTAATTAACCTACTTTTTCATGATCCACTTGGTCATGGTCTTTTTAAAAAAATTGCTATATTCAGTTTGTTAAATTTTTGATCAAGATTTTTATGGCTATTCATGAGTGTCATTGATTTTTAATTTTCTTTTCTTATAATGCCTTTGTCTGTTTTTTATTTTGAGGTTATGCTGGCTTCATAAAATGACCTGCAGAATTTTCCCACTTTTTCTTATCTGGAAGAATTTGCAGAGTATAAGCATTTCCTAAATGATTGGTGTAATTCTTTAGAAAAGCCATTTGGATCTGAAATTTTCTTTGTGAGGCTTTTATTTACTGACTCAATTTCTTTATGGTTATTGGACAGTTTATACATTTCTATATCTTATGAGGTAGCTATTTTGGTAAATTGTGCTTTTTAACATTTTATCCAAATTTTCAAATTTATTGACATAAAGTTTGTGAAATAATCTCTTTTTTCTAATGTCTGTGGGATCTGTAGTGATAGTTTATTTTATTCTTAATGTGGTTTATTTGTGTCTCCTCGTTAAAAATTTTTTTTGATCACTGTTGCCACGTATTTATTGTATTTTCTTCTTTTAGTCTTTTTAAAGCATCAGTTTTTGACTTTGATCTTTCTCTGTTGCAGCATTTCTCAAACTTTTTGTTCACAGAACCCCATTATATTATACTTAAACATTACTGAGCACTCTGAGGAGTTTCATGTCAGTTATATACACTGATATTCTTGATTATATTTTACTTATTATGCTAATATTCATTTAAAATGAACAACAATAAACCCATTGCGTGTTAATATAAATAACATTCTTTAAAGGAAAAATAACTGTATCTTTGAAAACAAATTTAGTGAGTTAAATGACACTTTAATAATTTTGCAAATTTCTTTTAACTGGCTTAATAGGAAACATCTGTATTCTCATATCTACTTATGGATTCAATCTAGCATATGTTTTGGGTGAAGTAGAAGAAAATCCAGTCCCACACAGATGTGAAATTTGAAAAGGGAAGAATATTTTTAGCCTTTTTAGGTTGTGGATAATCTGTGATAGTATAGCAGATCTCAGCAAGTGTTTTTTAAAGGTTAGTTGCAGTATGGAATCTGAAATTATATCAGTACATTTTTCTTATTCTGGTACATTAAAGTTCATTGGTCTGTCTTGCATTCTGTATGGATCTTTTACTCATGTGTGATTTCATAACATCATGCTTTGGTCATTTGGAAAATAATAAGTTCACTTAGTTATGCACCTTTTCCAAATACTGATATATTTCATTATATGATACCAAAAAATTGGTGATTTTTTGAAATCACCACCAATCTAATCAGAAAGGTCTCTTAAGTACTGGGATGTTGTCAAGCTCAAGACAGTAAATATAAGTTTGCCAAATTCCCAATTCTTCCTTGAAAAGTCAAATTTGATCATTCGCAGAAAATGCCATCAGTTGTTTTCCAGGTTCACGGTGTTCAGTTTTGAGGAAATGTCTGCCAAATACCCAAGCCTGGATAAGTATAATTTGTCTAGATATTGTTCTTTTGTTTGCTTTTTTTTGTGGTACGTGGGACTCTCACTGCTGTGGCCTCTCCCGTTACGGAGCACAGGCTCCGGACGCGCACAGGCTCAGCGGCCATGGCTCACGGGCCCAGCCACTCCGCGGCATGTGGGATCTTCCCGGACCGGGGCACGAAACCGTGTCCCCTGCATCGGCAGGTGGACTCTCAACCACTGCTCCACCAGGGAAGCCCTAGATATTGTTATTTTAAGTAAAATCGGTGTTCCACGAAAACAGTGCCTAAATCAGCAAGCAGCACAATCACAAAGTGTTTTCATTTTACTTTGATTTGCAGCAGATATGTTTATTATTTTCACATTTTGTCACACAGAATATTTAACTGACATGGAGAATTTAATAAATGAATAATTTTTACTGCTTCATCAAGGACATTCTTAAGTGAAAATGACTTTTTCTTTCTTTAACTACTAGTCTGGGGCAGTCA